GGTTGAGCACTAAAACTAGTTAGTCTTTTTAATTCTTCATTTCTATTGTTAAGAAAAAATGGTCCCCCACAAACATTTATATTAATTATCTCAAATATGATGGGTCATGGAGAACTTAAAATAGAGACTGAATTTACTGTCATCCACCACAAAGATCTAATAGGGCCTCAAGCAGACGTGACCCTAATGTGCTATGGCATTCCCCAGGCCGTGTAGTCAGGTGGAATTGTTTTAACAGACAATCAACAAATAACTTCCACTGTTGCTTGCAGTGTTGTTGTAGCCGAGTTGATCCCTGGATATTAGCGAGACAAGGTGGGTGAGGTAACATCTTTTACTGAACCAACTTCTGTCGGGGAAAGAGACAAGCTTTCGAGCTACACAGAGCTCTTCTTCAGGTCTGGGAAACATACACGGAGCATCACAGCTAAATGCCAGGTGGAATAGATTGTTTAGCATAAGTAGTTAGCACATATTCTACAGGACCGGTCAAGGTAGAGTGGCCTATTAACACCCCTGCAGCCATAGGACAAAAAAGGGGGGTTAATGGGTTACAGATTGTGGTAATAAGCCATAAATCCAGCATCTTTATGAAGACCGTGATTTTAGTGTCCAGAGAGTTATGAATTTAAGCTCCCAGGCTTGTCCTTTGAAGGTGTTGGGCCGGTGTCCTTTGAGGACGAGGACTGAGACAGGTGTATGGCTGAGGTTAGCTAAAATAAGATGGGTCTCAGAGTAGCAGCCGTGTTAGTCTGTATTCGCAAAAAGAACAGGAGGACTTGTGGCACCTTAGAGACGAACCCATTTATTTGAGCATGAGCTTTCGCGAGCTACAGCTCACTTCATCGGATGCACCGGCTGTTGCACACAGTGCCACCTAGTGGCTGAACATATCATACAGTTTAGCATTCCACTACAGGCAGCCTGCCTGGGCGCTTGATGCTTGTTTCCCGTGTCTCTAGCTCAGGGGTCGGCAGCCTTTCAGAAGTGGCGTGCCGAGTCTTCATTTATTCCCTCTAATTGAAGGTTTCGCGTGCCAGGCATACATTTAACGTTTTTAGAAGGTCTCTTTCTATAAGTCTATAATATATAACTAAACTATTGTTGTACGTAAAGTACATAAGGTTTTTAAAATGTTTAAGAAGCTTCATTTAAAATTAAATTAAAATGCAGAGCCCCCAGGACCGGTGCTGAAAATCAGCTCATGTGCCACCTTTGGCAGGTGTGCCAGAGGTTGCCTACCCCTGCTCTAGCCAGATCTGGGCCATCCCTGGCACAATTTGGAGGAGCCTAGGGGCTGATTTACGCTATGCCATCTGGTAATGGTCCCCAGGGAACCACCTGCCAGATGGGGTCAGCTGCAGCTCAGCACTCACTCTCCACCTGCAAGCAGGGCTGCAGAAGAGCTGTTGGGTGCGCACTGGGGACTTGTGGCTGGTCTCTGCTCCCTTTGTGCCGTCTGAGCAAAAACAAAGACTCTACTGCTGAGAAATTCCAAAAGAAATCCTGCAACCTGCTACCTCCAGCACACCTGTGCTCTTCAGCTAGAAGCACAGCAGCTACTGGCTATGATGCATGGTGAGAAGGGGGAAAGCAGGCCTCCCAGAAAGGCATCCAGCCATGATCTGAGGACCAAGAGATGGAGAATCCATCACTCCCCTGGGCATCATCCTCAGTGGTTGTCCCTTTGTTCAGGCTGACTTCAGACGAGGACGTTATACCCAAAACCAAGTCACTCACTTAATAGAAAAGGAGGACTTGTGGCACCTTAGAGACTAACCAATTTATTTGAGCATAAGCTTTCGTGAGCTACAGCTCACTTCATCGGATGCATTCAGTGGAAGTGAGCTGTAGCTCATGAAAGCTCATGCTCAAATAAATTGGTTAGTCTCTAAGGTGCCACAAGTACTCCTTTTCTTTTTGCGAATAGACTAACACGGCTGCTCCTCTGAAACCTGTCACTTAACAGAAGACACTGAAGATGCCTTTGAGAAGAGCAAGAAAGCTGGTGCTGTTCTGGAGGCTCTGTCAGCTGCAGGTGATACCATCTGGCATGTGGGGCTGACCACTAAGTTGTTGCAGACTGTTCCCTGTAAGCCCATGATGTGGTTTATCATGAAAATGATACCAAATCAGAGCTTCATCTTGCTAGCTGGAGCATAGGCGCTGACTCTGTGGGTGCTCTAGGGCTTGAGCACCCATGGAAAAAAATTAGTGGGTTCTTAGCACCCACTGGCAGCCAAGCTCCCCAGTTCCCCCAGTGCTTCCTGCCCGTCGGCGGCCCTGCCTCCCTCCCAGCGCCTCCTGAACGCTGCAGAAAAGCTGTGTGTGTGTGTGTGGGGGGGGGGGGTCAAGCACTCCCCGGGTAGAGAGGAAGTCGGCGCCTACGAACTGGAGACAAAGTCAGCTGGTTTAGGCAGCTCTGAAGCAGACTAGCTGCTCTCCTCTTCAACATACATACTTACGACCTACCCAGAAGTAAGGCCGATAAGTACATATGTGCAGATGACATCTGTCTTGCTGATGTGGGTGACGATGCACATGATAGCAAAGGGTCACTCAGCCAGGACATGAATGCTCTGGCCACATAATGTAAGTCTCCACTGACAAAGGTAAGTACGTCTAAGATAGGGGCCACAACCTTCCAGCTGAAGGATCCCGACCAATCGACCCCTGACAATCTGTGTTGAGGGTCATCCTCTCCCTTTCCAGACAGTTGTCATTTCCTTAGGAGCCAAGCTGGGCCACACTCTACCAAAGCGGCCCCTGGAACACGTGAAGGAAACGATCACCTCCAGCACTGCTGTGATACAGACGCGAGCAGGAACCTACTGGGGAGCAGAGGCAAATGTTCTACGAACCTCGGCCCTGGCAGGGGTATTTGCTCCCACGGAATAACGTGCAGCCTGCTGCACACAAGGCTGACAACGGTTCCAGTAGGTGCAAATGAGCAATATGCACTTCCCACAAGATCCACCCACCTCCAGAAGAAAACACCTACACCTGCAGTTGCTGCTGACTTGCCATGAGTGACTTGGCAACATCCTTTTGTGGCCCTGGTTCATGCACGACCACTGCACTGCTGGTCTGGCGCCATCTCGGATGAACAGCCGCATGCCAGGACTGACGGCTGCGTCCTCGTAGTGTCGCAGCAACTTTGGGCTAGAGAAACTGGCATGCCAACGAATTTCAGAAGCCCTTGCGTACATCCACATGTTTGCAACCTGGGACGCAGATCCTGGACTAGGCTTAACTGGCTGGTGACTGGAATGGCCAAAGTGGCTGCCACCATGCAGAAACTTGGGTTAGCCCCATCTTCCCAGTGTGACTATGGGGCAGCAATGAAAACGGTCAACGTGGTGGAGGAGAACTCAGAAGACTGGTGGGTGGGCTGTAACTCCTGACTACCCTGGATGATGCAGCCATTAGATGGCCAAACAAGTAGAGATCGACTTGCAATGCATATGAAAGGAGATCATCCTACTGTTACAAATTTGTGCCTATTTCTAATCTGAATTTGTCTTGCTTTAACTTTCAGCCATGGGTAGTTGTCATGCCTTTCTCTGCTAAATGAAATAGCCCTTTAGTATCTGGTACACACACTGTAATAAAGCCACCTTTTGATCTTCTTGACATTCCCCAGCAAATCCTAGTTTGCTAGATAGAGGGTGTAGCAGGGTGGGCACCCGCTCCAGCCCTGAAGGGGTCAAAACAGCCCTGGGAAAGGGATGTTCCAGGGGAGCCAAAGGCTAGGCTGATGGGGAAGGCAGCTGCAGCAGGGGTCACGCCCCAATCAGGCCACAGCTGGCCTTAGAAAAGGCTGTGAGCCAGGGGCTCAGGCAGTCTCTCTCTAGCTGTGGAGAGAGACGGGCCTGGCTGCTTGGGAGCTCACCAGGGTACCTAGAGTAAAGCAGGGCTGGGGAAAGGCCAGAGGAGCTGGGGGGCTCCAGGCTGGAAAACCCCCAGCCTGCAGGCCTTGCTGAAGGCCTAAAGCAGGTACTGGGGTTGCAGAGGGGCAGCCCAAGGTTAGGCAAAGGCAGCAGGTCCAAACCCTCCTTGCCCATGATGAGTGGTACAGACTGCAGTCTGCCCCAGTGTGCAGGGGCCAGATGAAGCCTGGCAGTAGCCGCTGAGGCAAGGTGGGGATAGAGGGTGGGGATTCCCCAGGGCGGGGAGACCCAGGGACTGCGGGGGTACTGCAGAGGGCAGAACCCCGAGGGCAGGGACACCGGGGTCCGGGAGGGACACGGGGACCTGACGCAAGCGGGACACTGGCCTGCAGAGGGTGCTCCGGAGGCTGGAGCGCTAATTCCCAGGATGACCAGCAGGAGACGCCGCACCAGTGAGTCGCGACGTGCTACAGGGGGCAACACTCCTACATTCGGATTCACCCTCTTCTGAAGCTAACATAGCAAAATTTGACTATCAGAAAGAATTGCAATGAAACAAAACCTTTCCAGCACACAGAAAGGGTCCCTTTAGAAACTGGCCCCCTCCCTTCTCCTGCTCTAATCCACCAACTCTCAGATAGGTTGCCCGAACAAACCAAACCCATAATGGACAAGAGTCAGACTAGGTTCTATGTGCTTCATTTAAAGGACACACTCGCATGGGATGTGCTTTCATGTGCAGAAGCTGCGAGTATTGACAATAAATGCAGAGACTCAGAAAGAGAAAGAAGAAAAAGCAGAAAATATTTCCTCTTTTTTTGAGTAGATACTTTAACACCCTCCCCACGCATAGATCAGTCTGGCCTCTGGTTTGGAAAAGACAGATAGGCAGACTTTATTCTATAATTCCTTTGTAGTCACTAAGTAAATCCTACCAAACCCTTTACCAGTGCAGGGTAGACTTTGTAACCAAATCTTAAGCAACAACATTAAAATAAAAAGCAGAAAGCAGCATTTGTGAAGAAGGCAGTAACCTGTTTCACACCACAAACGAGGAGGAGTAACAACAGACAGGTCTGTAAGACCCTCCCAACTGGAACTGGATCTTACCAGCAATGTCGCAGAGTTCTGCATCAGATGCGTTAGCCAGGGCTTCCTCCAGCTCTGGTTCCAGTGTTACTCTTTCCAAAACAGGGTCGATTGGCTTCTGCTTGGGGACCCAGACTTTCCCTATAAATACAAAGTGATGTCAATGGCAGTCCAGCTGCTGGCTCCTGTTTAGCGATCACTGAGTCAGATTTACTTGGTGCACAGATTCACTTCCAAAGAATTCTCGGTGAAATTCCCTGCAGTGCAGAAGGACGTATACGGTGCTTAGTCCTGCTGCTGACCCTCTGCATGGAGTGCATTCTGCCCTCTGACTAGCTTTACCTGGAGGATGAGTTATGGATCCTAGAGCAGTGAGCAAAGAAACCCTAACCAGAATTAGGAAGTCACAGGCAAGCAGAATGTAGCCCAGACTCCAGAGCTCTACAAATCTATCTCAGATTTATTCTAAATGGGCTCCTGCAACTCTCTGGGTCAGAAGTGACTTGCCTGACTTCTCAGGCCAGGGAATTTTATATATTTACTGGCCTCTGTATAACAACAGTACCTACAAACTGAACAACATTTATCAAAATCACACAGTGCCCGGAGCTCATACGTGTCCTGCCCTTCACAGAAATAGGCCTGGCTGAAGGCATTCAGCTAACCAGACCAGGACAGACCACAGCAAATGCACAATAGAAAAACAGAAAACAACATTTTGCCAAGAGCCTAGCAGCCTGATCTGGAGCTGGCTCAAGCTGTGATCTGAAGGGCAGTCGGGGGAGCAAGTTCCAGAGGCAGGTCCTGCCCTTCCACTGACCTTGGAAACATAGCACCACAGCATCTCTCCAAGAGACCTCCGCTCATGTGCAACCTAGGGAAGGAGAGGCCTCAAGTTCAAAAGGGCTTGGGTAACCCAGTAACCCAGTTCTCCCATGTTACTGTGAACCCCAGGCCAAGTTTGGGTTCACACACAGTCAGGGGATTGCAGGCTCACTGCGACCACTGACCATACTGGAAAATATCACCGTGGTTTACATAGGAGTAAAGACAGGTCTTAACTGGAACTCCAAGCTCCCTCCCCAGGTTTCTGGGAGTGGTGGTTGTTGATGGTTCAGACTAGAAAGCCCAGATCCAAACCAACCCCTGTGGTTCTGAGTTTGAGTTCTTCATATTCAATCTGGATTAGTTCCAAGGCAGGAGAAGTCTGGTGAGAAACACTGATCTCATGAGATTTCCACCACTTGGGACCAAAAATCTCAGAAAACCAATTCACAAGGACTTGGACTGTCTAATCCAAACCCAAAGCCTCCTCTAGACCTAATCTGGGTCTGAGCAATGTCTTTTCACCAACTATCTAGCTGGGAAACAGACAGGAAAGAGCAACCACACACATTCACAGGCACAGTTCTCTAAATAATTGTGGGAGAAAGGAGGGGAGAGAGGAGGGCGGAGGTAGTGACGGCAAATCAGGGGGCATGGGTAACAGTACTGCAGAGAGAGGGAGAGAAGCCACAGAATGTGGGAGCAGATGTGCACTGTCAGGGGAAATGGCACCAGGAGGGGCAAGTCTTACCCTGCAGATTAACAGGGCACCAGTGTACTCTAGAGTCTGGCGGTGCAGGGGATACCAAAGTCGTAGAGAGAGAGAAACTGGAGTCTGAGGAAGCGTCTGAGTGAAGACCGCAGAGATGAGGAAACACCTATGGACAACAGAGAGGCAGGGAAGGTGTGCAGACTGTCAGGAAAGACAGTGGTCCCCAAAGAGGGGATGTGGGGGTAGGTACCCAGGGGCAGTCTGCGCAGCAGGGAGTCTGAGCCCAGCTAGTGCAGAACACTAATCATTATGGGTCTATAGCAGCTGCCATCCAAAAATCTCAAAGCACTTTACAGACTTTCCTGAATGTCCCCTTGCCACATGTCTCCCTCTACCTCACCCAAGTGGCTGCAGAGCCTCAGAAAGTTGAGGTGACTTGCCCAGGGTCAGAGGCAGCCATAGGCTTTGCACCATGGCAGGGTGGGAAGTCCAGCGCCGGCCCTGAGTCCCGGCGATAGAGATCATTCTTCTTCCTCGAGGCACTGGGGAAGCTTCCTGCCCAACTGCTTGGAGTCAGGAACCATTTTCCTGGACAAGCTCTAACCAGGCTGTAATAACTGTAGCCACATGCCTGCCGGAGGGAGCTGACCACCAGCACAGCTGCCTTTCATCAGCTGATGGCAGGAAGACGGGGCAGGGAGAAAATGTTTGTTTGCTCTGATTTGCCATCTGATCAGAGAGCTCGACTAGAACAGAACCGTTCTCTGGGAAGCCAACTGAAACGGCCTCTCTCGCCACATAGGGGTAGACTTAGCCGATCAGGGACCCAGGAGAAATAAATGGGTCTTATCCTGTGTGGCCTTTTCTAACAACATTTGCTCAAACTCCAAATGCAGCATCAAATACGTGCAGCTTCCAAACACGTGCAGACACCTAGTGAGCAACACAGCTTGCACAGACTGTGAGCAAATCACTGCTGTTTGAAGCTGCAGGCTGAACTCAGTGGAAGGAAAAGCAGGAGCAAAGCAGCAGTGAGAGTGATGGGGAGCGCACAAGTCAGCAGAGCCAACTGGATTTCCTCTAGCACCCATCAGCACACAGGGCAGTGGCCGCACTGCAGGAGAGCCAGGCTGCGACAGAGTGACCTGTCACATGGGGCACTCCATTAAGCCATCCTCTCAGAGGCTGCTGGGCATGGGAGGGGTCTGGGCCTGGAGAAGCAGGCCCACAGCCCGGTTAGACTTGCTGGGGCCCAAGGCAGAAATTAAGCAGTGCCCCCCCCGCATGCCTCCCTAGAACCCGAAGCCTAAGCCTAAGCCCCACTGCCTGGGGCTGAAACCTGAGCCGCCCGGCAAGGCTCGCCTCCCTCAACATTCCTCTGCACACTCTAGGGGTAGGCAAAAATCCAGCAACCCACCCCCCTCCACGAGGCAATCTCCAGCTTCCAACCAGAAGGCAACACCCCCCCCTCGTATCAGCCACCGACAGGACCTGGAGAAAGCCCCCAGACAGAGGGGGTTGAGAACATCGTCGGCTCCTCACTCTCCCGTGGCTCAAGCCCTCTCCTCCCCCAGGCCCGGGCTGCGCGGCGGGGACGGGCAGCTGCCCTGTTCTCAACAGTTCTGAGCTGTCCTCACTCAACCTGCGGTACCGCGAACACTGCAGCGGCCTTCGCTGGACACACAATCCTTCCCCGTCTCCGTGAATTGGGAGAATAATGCAAATCTTTACACCACGTAAAAAACCCAGCAGATTAAATTATTTTTCTGGCAACTGGTAAAGCCACAAAAAAAACAGACCGATCAAATCCCGGCCAGGTGGGAACCCTATCTGGGGGCCCCACAGTTTGAACACCTCGGCTTTAGTGTGCTTTATTTCCACTTGTAGAGATGAAATTACTGTCATACTCGCACGACATTTACCCACAGTGACTCTGTAGCTATGATGTATCTTAGCTTTGTGGGGCCCCCTGTGGCGTGGTGGGGCAGGCCCAGCTCATTGCAAGGGAGGAGAGAGAACGACACGACAGTGCTCTGGAGCAGTGGTTCTCAACCTGAGGGCCACGGACTATATCTAAGGGGGCTGTGAAATAATTAGATGGAACAGCATTCAACTCTATTTATAGACAATAGATTTCCAAAGGGTCTGTGCCTCCATTTGAAATTTTCCAAGGGGTCTGCAAATGAAAAACAGTTGAAAACCCCTGCTCTGGAATCCTGAAATCGTATGTAGGACAGAAAGGAGCTTGCATAGAGCCGAACACCCATGGAGCAGGCACTGTGTTTGGGGAGGGCAGGGCACCAGCTCAGGCTTTCCCCAGGAAACCAAGGACTTGCTGTAGAGGTCAGAAATCTCTGGGGAAAAGGAACGAGACACTTTCGGGTGTAGATGATAAACAGAGCACTGACCCCCTTGAAGAACTATTCCTGTGAATTCGCTGGCTTTGTTCTTTGTTTCCCCCTCTTGCTTGTTTCCCCCCCTGTGATGGTCAGGTCATCTTGGCCCACCAGGTGACAGCTTGGTGATATAGGCAGAGAGCGCTCTCCCATTGCAACCCTTGAGCTTCCTGCTGCCTCACGCACAGTCCCATGATGACCCCATGCTCCAGGCCCCCAACCACTCATTGCTCCAGGTCCCCTTAAATCCCCTGGAGGGCCAGTTGGTAGGGACTCCCCTTTCTGCATCTCAGTTTCCCCTCCCACCTTTGCTCCGTTAGACTGCAAGCTCTTTGGGGCAGGAATAATCTCAGACTATGTCTGTACAGTGCTTAACTCAAGGGGGCCCTGATCATGGTGGGGATCTCTAGGTGCTACTGTAATGATGAACTCCCATGCCACAGGGGCAGGAAGAGGTGGGGTTGGGTGAGGGCTTGGGGGTAGGGGTGGTGTGGTGGCAGGACTTGGGGCAGAGCAGGGGTCGAGCACCCCCAGGAACTTGGAAAGTTGGCGCCTCTGCCCCAGACTCCTCTGCCATCCCTATCTTCAGGGGCAGGCCTGTGGCTCCAGGGAGGTGCAGCCTCCCCATCGGCTGCCCACCACCTCCCTTGTCAGTTCCGCCATCCTAACGCTTCCCACCACCCACCCCAGGGCTGCCCCTCCTCCTACGCCAGGGCAATGGGGCGCCAGGGCTGCCCACCCTGCTGGCAGGGGGAGTGAGACCCTGGCGTTCCCAGCACCCTGACCAGAGTGGCGGCCAGGCGCCCAATGGGTCTGTGTGGGGAGGAGGGCAGCAGTGCAGTGCCTGAGTTTTCGGCACGGAGGGGAACATCTCAGCATTTCCTGAGGGAGGGCTCCCCGCGTCCTGTCTGGCTACAGGCCTGCTGTGCAGGGGGGCTGGAGCAGGGTGTATCGTGGAGGTGGGGAGAGCCATTGAACCAAACTGTAAACCCTGCATATGATGGAAACCGCCTCAAGCCAAGGGGCGCAGCAGCCCCCCATCACCCCGAGTTCCAGCACCTATGCTGCTGGGGAAGCTGGGCCCGTCGGGAGGTTGTCGCTCTTACCAGCGAGAGAGCCCCCACTCTGTCCCCCTGAGCAGTGAGAGCAGGAGTCCAGAAGCCAGCCCTGCACCAGAGGGGAGATCGTCCCCCGCCCCGCACTGCATG